GGTTCTTCACCCGCTGGCACCCAGCGTCCTTCCGGAAAGGAGGCGGCGGTGGCCGTGCTCCCCGGGGAGCTGCTGACGAGCTGCCTGCACGCAGCGTGGTGGGTGTAGGAGCCTCTCAGGCTTCACCCTTCCCTGCCTTTGAGACACGACGTTACAGTTCTTCCCTGTTTCACTAGCGCTGTGCTCTCCTTCGAGCTGCTCACTCAATTCCCATGAAGATTTTTCCTGTTTTCCTTCAACTGAGATTAAAACTCCAATGTGAAAGTTGTTTTAATAGTTCAGTCTAGCCTGAAGTGCCGCGGTCTGCAGCAGGACTGACTGACCTGCTGAGAAAAACATGTGGGATGCCGGTGCTGTGCTTGTGGGGTTTCATCTGTCAAAATATCTGTGTCTCTGTCTCCTTAAAACCATTCAGGAGAGTTGTTGTCTCCATAAAATATTAGTTTTTCTCTCAGTGGCTCAGCATGAAATGGAAGTTGCTGAGTTATGTGTGTATATGATGCAGATGCTTTGAATTGAGGAAGGGGCTCATTTGCTTTATTCTTTTTATTCCCACTTCAGCATAAAAGAGAAATGAGACTCTGGGGAAATGGAGATGTGAGGGGAACCATCCCAGAAAGGCAGTTTGAAGACAGCATGTGTTAAGTGCTTGGAACAAGGCGTGGAAGGGAAGGGAACAGATAATCCCTTTTCCTTTGATGATTTCTTGGGCTAAGCCCCGCAGATGGGACTTGCTCTCTACCCTTTGGCTCTCTGTTGCCATGTTTCCTTCATGTAGGAACCCACATGTGTCTGCATGTCTCAAGTATTTTACCCTGTGGATTATATGAATGGTGACCATTTTTCCCTCTCTCTCCTCTCTCTCCTCTCTCTCCTCTCTCTCCTCTCTCTCCTTTTTCTGGAAAAGGCAGTACATGTGAGGGGTTGTAGACTATAATCTGGGGTCGTGGACCGGATCTTAATTTTCTGTTGTGCTGGAGCCTCATAGGGATAAAAGCCGTTCTCAGGAACTGCTTTCATGGTATGAAGAGTCTGTGTTGGTGCACAGTGGTATTGCTTGGCTTTTACGGAGCACTTCTCGTCAGTAGATCTTCATGCATGTAACTGCTGCCCCAGGAAGTCAAAGGACCCAGGGTTCTGGCAGAGCACTAGCACTTTTCCGAATGGTTGAAAACACAGACTAGCGCTTACCCAGTATTGTAGCCTTTCATATGGTTCCGCGTTCAAAGTCCTGTGTGGCTTTTTTACTCCATACTTGTAGCTATCAAGAAGTTTAATGCTGGTAATGACTGCAGGCTGACAGATCCATTATGTTCTCAGCCATAGCACATACACAGGCGTAGACAACGTAATTAAATGGTCTGCAGTTTCCGGTGAACAGAAGATAACGTGGCATGAGCCATGAATGAATGAAGCCAAAAAACTCTTTCATCCTCTCTTAAAAGTGGGGGGAATTTCAACTTTGCTAGTGGCAAAGCTTGGAAAACATACAGCAAATGCCAAGACAGTAGTAGCAAGGCTGAGTGAAAACGGTAGTGAAGCTCATACGCAGTTCTAATGTGGTTGAAGTTATTTCAGGTGGGTTTTGCGGTATTTCTAGCGGTCCATTCAGTTAGAATCTCCACCAGAAATGCAGAGCACGAGTGTTTGGTATCCATGGGTGACCTCTTTCTATTCTTGTCTTTCAGTGGAGTGATACCCAGGTGATGCAAAGGCAACCTAGCTGGCCTCTTGCTGCTGCCCTTTGCCTCTGAAGATGGCATTCGGGCTCCTTAGTTGTCCAACAGCAATGTTTTTGGCAACCTTGAATTTCTTTTGTAAGGGTTGTGGTCAGTCCACCATAAAGGCGGTCTTCTGCAAATTCGCGTTGATTGACCCTAAATGATGATACCCCTCCCAGTGGTGTTCAGAGATGTGTGGCTCCAGTGAGTTATGCTCATACACATTAATAAAGTGGGTTTATTTTAGGTGAAAACTGATACACCTTTTCAATGGGTTCTCTGGCACTTTTTCTCTAGAGGAACTGAAGGCACCGCTGGAAGAATACGTCAATAAACGATACCCAGGGCTCGTGAAGGTGGTGCGCAACCAGAAGAGGGAAGGCCTTATCCGAGCTCGTATTGAAGGCTGGAAAGCTGCCACTGGCCAGATCACGGGATTTTTTGATGCCCACGTGGAGTTCACTGCTGGCTGGTAGGTGCTCAACCTCAAGATTTCGGCTAGCGTGTGTGTGTGTGATGCATTAAACAAGGGACGGTCTGTCACGGAGTACAGATGTGTTTGCAAACAGGTCCACCGGCTTTTATTAATCCTGTCTTCCTTCTGCACTGAAAGGCCACTGGTGAGATGTGATGGGAAGACACAAGGGGCACCTTTCTTTGCCTTTGTTTTCTGTAATTATTTTCTGTTCCCTCCTTTTATGCATGCACATCCCCTTGTTCCCCAGATACGTTTTTCAGGTTGATTTCCCGTCCCCTTAGCCCTCAGTAATTTCTCTAAGTTTAAACAAGCCCAGGTGGCAAGGGATTGAAAGAGCAAGTGCTTCCCGCTTCCTTGCCCTTTGCAGCTGGATCCCGCTGGGGAAGGCTTGGATGTTTTGGATTGATTTGTTTCTTCTGCAGCTAGGAATTAGTGCAGAGGTGCAGAAGCAGCGAAAGGTGTTTCATAAGGCTTTTTTTCAGAGAGATTCAAAACATTTGGGTTCAAGTGTCTTGAGTCTAGGTGATAAGAGGAGCCCAAGAGTGATTTATTTTTTTTTTTTCTCTCTAACCACATGTAAAAAGTTAATAGTCTATGTTTAGGAAAGTGGAGGTAGAAGCAGCTAACTTGTGTCCAATTTGAAAAGACAGTAATATCCACAAGCAAAATGCTTTAGCAGCTGCAAACAAAGAGTTCTGCACTGTTACTGAATTCTTTGCAATGATAGTGCAGCTGAGGGGTGTCTTCAGGAGCCATTTCTTACACTGATATCCGTATTCCCAGCTAAACATTCCTCTCTTCAGGTCACTGAGTCCTCACACATGATTTTATTGGTGTACAGAGGAAGCTCCCATTTACTGAGCCCTTGAAGTGGCTTTTCTAGGGATAGAGAGTGAGCTTTTCTGCGGCGTGGGCTTGACTCACCCTGGTGTTACGTACTCGCTGCTGTCGCTGGAGGCAGCAAGAGCGCGGGTTGCTCCTTGCGTTGGCAGGCTGAGCCCAGGTGGATCAGTGGCTCTTGGGCTGCAGAGCTGAGGCTGGGGACACCCCCTGCTCTGGGCACATAGGAATGTCCCAAAGGTGAATTTTGTGTAGCTTTAGAGTCCATATATGGTTCCTCAAACTATGTTCCAAGTTAAAAAAGACCCTTCAGATAGTTGTACTTTGAAGAATTTACCCTGTTCTGCCCAGGGACGTGGGGTTTTTAGGATCTGGGGGAAGTCTGGACTAGTTAAAGCATGGTTTAAACAAAACACATCCTTTGTGGCCTTGCTTTACAGAAGGGGAGTTTCTGAGCCAGGCTTCCCAGCCTGGGGGTTGTGTTTTCATGCAGGACGTCCACCCGTGCATGGCAGCACGGGAAGCTGCGTGCAGTTGCCCTGCAGAGGCACATCAGGACTTTACAGGTGGAAGAAGAGTACCCGCGAGCAGCCGGGTCGCAGCGAATCGAGGGCCTGTCTGCCCTCCTGCTGTGCCACTGCCCGTAGCTGGAAGCCTAGGAGAGCGTGTGTGGGTAGGGCTAGCACATACCCTATTCCTTCAGACTACACTACCGAAGTCCACTGATCTGCAGATGTGAAGCAGACACGGCCGCTATGTGTTTAGCAACCCTCACTACGTTTCTCGTGAGGTTTTTGCCCATTGCCTGTGGAGCCCACGCAACCTTCAGGCATTCACAGCATCCTCGGGCAAGGTGCTCCACACCTTAGGTACCCCCTGCGAGAAGAGCTAACTCCTTGTTGCCCATATTGAGCCCGTTTCTTTTGATGGTCCGTGGTTCTTGTGTGGAAAGCGTCCCCAGATGCTAATGGAGCCCGTTCTGTGAGCTGCTCCCGGCTGCGCAGTCAGCCCATGCTGCAGAACCAGCCCCTAGTCAACGCACACTGATTTCCTGCTACCTTAGTAAAGATGTCAGGAAAGCTCAAGTTAAAAACATAGACATTTTGAAAATTAAGAAGTTCAGAATATGGAATCATTATTTAGTAATTTTTTTTTAAGCCAGAACACCAGAGAAAACACAGTGTACTAGCTCTGCAGAAAAAAGGTGAGGTCATGTTTCACAGAATCCCAGAATGTTTGGGGTTGGCAGGGCCCTCTGTGGGTCACCCAGCCCAACCCCCTGCCCAAGCAGGGTCACGCAGAGCAGCTGCACAGCACCGCGGCCAGGCGGGGCTGGAATATCTCCAGAGAAGGAGACTCCACAGCCTCCC